TCTACTTTTGAAGATTAGGTCTGTAACTGACTTTGGGAATCAAACAAGCTTCTTTAGCAACTGAGTGTGGACTTGATTAAAAGACCCAAGGCATGGTCCTGGCATTATGTCTAGGAGTTAAGACAGAGGTTTTGAATAGCAAGCTGAGAAAGGCTGACATACTCCAAGACCCTTTCTAAAAGGAAAAAAGAATGAAAAGCCTGGACTTTAGCTTGACAGAAAACTTCTGGGGAGGAATCCCTTTTAAATGGTTATTTTTGTCATTGCCTCTAGACATTTTTTCTAAATAGGAATGGAAAATTAAAAAGCAACAATCCAGTCTATTTAAAAAAAAAAATTATGCTGGGATCCCTAATAAAACTGAATTTGAATTGGAAAAATCTGGTGTGAGTTGGAATTCCAACTTTCAAGGGATAATTTGAGTCCTGTGATCTCTGCCCATCCTGCTTCTTAAACTCTGAGCTGTCTGCAAGGCTCCGTGAGTATTGAGCGGTGACTTTTTTTAAAATAAAGAACTTTACCATGTTATCCACATGAGTTAAATAAATTTGAGTTGTTTTAAAGTGATGCTTCAAACCGAATGTCTGACGAGTCTGTTTTTTGACAGGCTAGCAGGAGTGTGCAATTACCTAAATTCTGAACAGGAACAAGGCTGGTTTTCAGTTTATGCTGCTAAAACTGCATACCCAAAGTCTGCGATGGACAAGCTATTTGCTGCCTTCATCATTTTTTCAGTCCTGTGGGAAATCTTAGTTTCGCCAACCTCATTCTTAGTTCATTTCAAAGAAAATCTAGTCCTGGTCTTGCACATTGTGTTAGTTTGGCTTCATCACTTGCTAGCTTTGTGACCTTAGGCAAATTTCCAAGACTCGGGTCCTTTAACAGAAAAGAACTAAACTGAGCTACTATGAATTGTCCAGACTGAAGTAATGTATTTGTACCATGGACTTGGTACGTTATGGCAGGCACATAGTGGCTGTATAGATGTTGGCTTCTTTTCTGTTGCCATAAATGATGCAGTCACCTACCAGCTTCCTGAAATGTCACCAAGGCTGTGACCCCACATGGAAGGCTCCAGCGGCAGCCTGACTGCTCAAAAGGGAGACATTGTCAGCTTATTTCATAAAAAAATTTAAAAAGAGTGGAATTTTTAAATGAAAGATTTGTAGATGACAGTATTTACTGCTCATTATCTACTATGTGTGAGGCCTCTGACTTGCACGCTAGAGGATACAACAGAAACTAAAATTTCTCTTGTCCTCAGGATCTAGTGGAAGAAATGTCAATAAAATGGGATTACAGTACCATGTATGATGGTAGTGACAGCTAGGCACAGGCTCCTCAGAGTTCTAGGCAGGTATGAATCAGAGCAGTCCTCCCGTAGGAGTAGAAGCCAAGTGTTTTGTTTTCCAACTCATGTCATCAATCTCAGGTCTTTTTCTCATTGTTTTTGACATTTTGATTATTTTTTCAATTCAACCTTCAAAGTAATTTTTACGATACTTTTTTTTTTTTTTTTTTGTGGAACTAGGGACTGAACTGAGGTCCTTCCACTTGCCAGGCAAGCGCTTATTCTACTGAACTATCTCCCCGGCCCCTTAGGATACATCTTGATTCCTCTTTTTCTCCAATCCCTTCCTCTCCTTTTTCAGCCCCTCTCCCCCTCCTTTATTTCCACAGTTTTATTTCCATTTTATCTTTCTTTTATTATTTTTTTATAAAGTCTGTCAGTATATTTTAGTTGTACATCATGATCACATTTATCACAGGGAATTTGTACCTGTATGTGATAGATCTTTGTTCTTTGTTTTTTCCCTAGTCTGCTATCCTCCCTTCAACTGCTCTTACCCTTCTTACTAAGAAGAGCTTTGTTTCCATTTTTTCCTTCTCTCATTTTTCTCTTTTCCTTTGCTCCTCCCCATCTGTAGTTCCTGTTCCTTTTGAACAATTTCTGTTTTATGATATCTACTGTACATTTTTGTCTTTATTTATTCTTTCAGTTTCTCATACCAAGGAGATAATCCAATATTTGCATGTGTCCAATTTATTTCACTTAAGAGTATGGTTTCAGTATGTCCATATATTTACCTAGAAATATTTTGACAAGTTAATCCTTCTTTATGGCTGAGTAATACTCCATCGTAGTAAAAAAAACACCTTTTTTATGCATTCCTTAATTGATGGGCATTTGGGTTGTTACAAATGTGTTACTATAAACATGAATATATATATATATATATGTATCACTGTGATATGATGTTTTTTAATACACCCAGGAAGATACTTAGAAGGGGAATAGATTGGTAAATGAGATCTCTGATCGTACTTTTTTTTGGAATCTCTGAATTCCATAGTGGTTGCCTCAGTCTACACTCCCCCTAACGCTTCCATTTCCTCACAGCCCCTCCAGCATTTGTTATTGGTTGATTTCTTGATAATAGTCATTCTTTGTGGAATGAGATGGAATCTCAGTGTTGTCTTAATTTTGCATCTCTCAAGTGACCAACCAGTGATGATGAATATTTTTTCATATGTTTATTTGGAGTTTGTCTTCCTCTGAGAAGTGTGTATCTCAGAATCCTGTTTGTGGTCTGGGTCTTTAAGTTGGAGGACGTCTGGTTTTCTTTTAATTATTTTTGTCTTCTGGATACTAGTACTTTGAGAGACAGCTGGCTATTTTCTTCTACTCTGAGTTGTCATTTCACTCTTGCTGATTTCTTTTGCTGTGTAAAAGTTTTTTAGTAGGACTTTGATTCCATGTGATTAGGGTTTTGTGTATGAAATCTTTTTTTTTTTAAGACAAGATTTTGCTATACAGTTCAGGTGGGCCTTGAACTCAGTATGTATCCCAGGCTGGCCTTGAACTCATGGCAGTTCTCTTGCCTCAGCCTCTTGAGTGCTGAGACTACAGGCATGGGCCACTACGCCCAAATAGTGTTCATGAAATTTTTGCCTATACCTATGTCTTTTAAGAATTGTATGTATTCTCTTTTCCAGCAAATTTAGTGTTTCTGTTTTAATATATAGGTCTTCTATCCATTTCAATTTTAATTTAACGCATAGTAAAGAGACATAGCTCTAGTTTTAATGTTTGGTATGGGTACAGCCAGTTTTCCCAGCACCATTTATTAAAGAGGCTTTCTTCTAAGGAATGTATTTGGCCTCTTTGTCAAAGATCAGGTGACTGAGTGTGTTTGGAGTTATTTCTGCTCCTTCTAGTCTGTTTCCTTGATCCTCAGTTCTGTTTTTTTGTTGTTTTGTTTTGTTTTTTGCCAGCAAGTTGCTATTTATATTACAGTAGCTTCGTAGTATAATCTCAGGTCAGGGATTGTGATGCCCCCTGCCTTGCCTTTGTTGCCCATAATTGCTTTTGCTAGTCTAGGTCTCTGTTTCCAAATGAATTTTAAGATTTTTTTTTATAGTTTGCTGAGATATGCTAATGGTATTTTGTTTAGGATTGCATTAAATCTGTATAACAATTTTGAGAGTAGGGCTGTTTTCACTACAGAAGCAAAGCAGTTCTTTGGACAATAACCAAGATTTTACTAAGCAAAGAGAAATGGAAATGATACTCCAGGCAGGGGAGCATAGCAGGAAGAGAGGGGTTGTAAAATTTGAAAATAGGGAGAGAAAGGTATAAGAAGTGAAGTTTGGATCCTGCTGAGGAGTTTAGATTAGATCTGTGGGTGAGGGGACCAATTGGGAAATTTTCGGAAGCAGACAAATTTAGAAGTTGACACTGAGTAAAGAGAGACAGCTGGCATTTCCTATGTACTGTGAGTTTTTTCTATCATGATAGTGTCTCTGCCCATGCCCACACACTGCATCTTGGACTAGTGCGTAGCATTAACATTCTAACAGGATTTAAGTTAGCTGTCACTGTTTAAACACTGGCAGCCAGTGTAAGCACTTACAGTTTCTCTTCCTCCATTAACTTAGGTTCTTAACAAGAATCAGTTTTTAAAGTGATTCCAGGGGCTGGTGAGATGGCTCAGTGGTCTAAAGCACCTACTTGGAACAAGCTTAGCAAAGCACAGGGACCGCGGTTCAATCCCCCAGCACCACATGCCAGCCAGCCCCGACCCCTGGTGGGCTGAGCTGGCCACACACACATAAATAAATAAATAATTTTTTAAAAAAATAAAAATAAAAAAATAAAATAAAGTGATTCCAAGGGCCTGCCAAATAACTCAGCAGATTAAAGCGCCTGCACGCAGGCGCAGAGGCCA